GGGGAACAATCGGACAATAGTATAGGTCCGTCGTCGTCATCATTTCAGTCGGTATATTATTATTATTTTTTTTTTGTTCCTTTTTATATATGAATTCACAAAGAGAATAATAACAATAATACATTATGTAGTACAAAATTTGAGTAGAAATTATTATTTTATTATTATTTAACGCACCATCGAGTAAAAATTTCAAAGGCAAAAAAAAAAAGGTGGGTAAGTGGATGTCGCTCTGCTGTACAGTAGGTTACAAGTGGGTCACTGTATAATGGATGCTATTAAATTTGAATTCAATGATACAATATCATTGTATAAGAAAAACGATTCTGAGCGAAGACGGTATGTCAGTCTAGGTTTAATACAAATTATGGTATCTATATCTATGGTATTAAAAAAAAAATTGACCTATAATAAATTCCAAATTAATCATATCACATTATCACAATATTCATTAGGTACTTATAACACGTTATACATTAACATCAATAACAAACCCTGATACTATCATATATATATAATAGTACACTTTAGAAGTTTCAAGTAGGTACCCACGAATAATATTATATAATCACAACAAAATAACTAGGTTTTTTAATATGTAATTTCGTCCAAATTTGAACATAAAATGACTATAAAAATAAACTGTGATTGTATATTTTTTAGATTTTTCGGTAAGAGAATTAACTACTTACGTGGAATCTTGTTTTAAATTTTCAATCCTTAGCTATAAAAACTGAACATTTTATAATTTATTAATTACGATGATTAATAATTTTCGAGATTTTGAAAAATTCTATCAAAATTCGATGTTAAAATGCTTATAAAAAAAAATTGTGCCTATGTATTTTATATATTTTTCAACTGATATTGTAACAATATATCAGGAGCCTTGTATTAAATTTTTACACTTTTTGGCATAACAGATAAAACTTAATTGATATTTATAGAAAAAAAAAACTAAAAAAATTGAAAACTGAAAATGTCCGTAAACGGCTCAAAAAGTGTCAAAATATTTTCAAAATTGTAGGGTGTATAGGAAATGCTAATATAAACATTCAGTGAAATTTTCATGTATCTACAGTAATTCGTTTTTTAATTACAACAAAAAAAGGAAATTGCCACATGAGAAATCGAGTGAATATCCAATGTTGTAAAAATTTGAATTTCAAACGCTCATAAAAATTTAATTTGACTTTCCGGTAGAAATTTTTTTATTGATAAAGGTAGAAAATCTTATGAATAATCTTGTATTAGATTTTCAAATCTTAGATTTAAAAAGAAAAATTTTTACGAATTATTAACTCAAAATAATTTGCTAATTTTCGTGATTTTTCCATATTTTGTCAATTTTTGAACTTTAAATGCTTATAAAAAAAAATTGTGACTAAGGATTTTTAATATTTTTCATCTGCCTTTGAAACAATATATTAGGAGCCTTCTATGAAATTTTCAAGCTTTCGCAACCAACAAATAAAATTTTATTGATATTTCTAGAAAAAAAACTAAAAAAAAACGAAAAATGAAAATGTCCCTAAACAAGTCAAAATAAATCAAAATATTTTGAAAATGTTATCGTGTATAGAAAATGCAAATATAAACAACCAGTGAAAATTTCATGTATATACGTTCATTTGTTTTAGAGTTACACCAATAACCAAAATTGATTTTTTGGAAAATCGATTTTGCGTAAAAATTCCCGTTTTTCCTTAATTTTTATGTTGTTTTTCCCGGCGCTTGTGAAAACTACTGGGAAATTTAAATTTTGACCTCCCCAATGCACCAACGATATTCACTTTCCAATCGAACAAGATACTGAAGTCGAAAATCGAAGCATTATTTCGACTACTTATCGTGTACACAGATACAAAAAAAATAAAAAAATAAAAAAATAAAAAATAAAAAAATAAAAAAATAAAAAAATAAAAAAACACACATCATTGTAAAATCAATACATTCATCGTTTCACTCAGAATCTAAAATTATTCTTTTTTTATAAAGCGTAGGTCGCGTGTTCTCTGTACGCGTAACCAACTTATATGTTTTATTGCACATAGGTATATCATTGGACTAGAGGGAAAAGTCAAAATACCGAGAGCATAATATTATAATACATTTGTTGCCATTTATATCACAGCAATAGTTGGCAGAAATGCATTGATTTTCCGCTGCTGTTGATGCTCACTCACACGCACACCCCCCCTCGTTAGTTTTTGACGAAATAACGGGCTCGCGCATTTCTAATAAGTTTTGGCGAGAGGGCACACTCGACTAATGTATATATATAATATATACTCAAGTCCGGAAGTTACCAATTACAAGTGGCTTTTGAACGGGACGACCACCTTGCACTATACCGCGTGCGTTACACACTCGAAACATAAACCGTCACGTCGTGTATTTAAAAAAATAAAACACACCAACGATCGCTATGACAACTAGTACGGGATATCATATATAACTACAACATCCATGGAAGTCGGTTATTAATATTATTATCATATTATCATTGTCGCCCGGCACAGCGGCAATCCCGAACGCGGTTTCTCTCCGCTCAAACAAAGTGCGTTTACGATATTTTTCATATATTATACATTTTATATTAACAATGAGAATTTGAATATTTTTAATTATGTTAAGTGGCCCGCTAATACTTTCCTGATAAATATTCAACATAAATTTACATTTAATGGTAATTCGGTTTTTTTTTTTTATTATATAATATATTTATATTTTAATTCTTTGTTTCGGTCGGAACAAAAACCCAGAATAAATAATAAAGCTTAGGTTTTAGCGAATAGATTAAAATAAATATTAAAAAATAAAACCTCGTGGACAGCGACATGTAACCACCTAAAATAATAATATTATGTGCGCGGCGTTCCAGAGCTCCGCCGGGGAAACACGCGAATTCCGTAACATATCGGTCCGGTGACCCACACGGCCCACCAACCTCTCCCCCACCCAATCAAAGTCACACGGTTTTCACGCGTTGACGCTTTTTCAGCCGTTTGTTCTCTGTTCGCCTTGTACATAATATACGTAGGTACAAGTGTAATTTCATTACGGACATTTCAATACGGTTGATGGGTGATGGGGTTGGTTGATGAAGGGGTGGCGGAGACAGAAACTGTTATAATTGAGAATTGTTTATTACACGTCGCGTGTTTTCAGCGATTGCGTAAATTTATGTATAGCACCATCACATAATGTAGTGTTTAACACGAACCACGCTTTTGGTTTTTTTTTTTTCACAGACCCCCTTAACAGCGTTAACTTTTTGAAGGCCATTGACGGTTTTATTTCTATACAGGTTTTGAGTGTATATAATAATATTAATATAGTATTATAGTGACTGCCAACATTTATCGGCTTAAATATTATGTTTGATACGAGGAATACGTATATCTAATATGGAAAAAGTACGATACTTCATGGACTAAAATTGTGTATTAATAATAATTTTATTGTATTTATTTCAGTTCCACAAGATAATCACATATTATAACTTTTTTCGCTATAACATAATATTATTTAAAGAGAACTTAAAGTTCTAGGTCCCGTGGAAATTACAATTACCTAAGTGAAGACTTGAGAAATTATATAAACCACGTTTATCAAAAAAATGTTAAGCTTACAAGGTAAGATAGGATACATTTTTTTGTCTTGATAAAATAATATTTTTCAAACTTGTTTGCGGATTCGTTCTTACGAAAGTACAAGACTTTAAACTATTTCGTCAATGACGTTGCTTGGGCGGTATTTCGAGTATATTTGGATCGTATCGTGGCGTGGACTTGAAGCGAAACTAATTGTGGAGTTGGCCGAGCAAAAAACGAAGACGAAATACCCAATGTAACGAACGGTCTCTCCCGTTTTATTTCAGAAATCGTCTCATCGTGTGTATTGGCGTCGATGTCGGCGTCATAATAATATATAATTTAACCTAGATAAAATGTACAATAATAAAATATACGACGTCGCCCTACGACGAGGACTGGTTATCGTCGCGAGAAAAACGAAACGAGTTTTCATTTGTTTGCGTTATTTTCGTCTGGTCTCGGTTAGTTTGCGTCGCCGACGACGATCGTACTCTAGGTAACGTACGCGTACGATAATAATATGATATTTCGTTCATAATTTATAAACGGTGCGCGGCCGTATATACACGGCGGTCCTCGGCACGTCGGAGTGGAAACAGAAACGAAATAGTCAAGACTGGCCGGTTGTCTTTCGAGGCGCTCTGTATGACGCGTATATTACACTCACGCCCGGACATGTGTTGCCGCGACCGGTGCCGCCCGCGTGCCAGTGTGTGCGAGACGGTTTCGTGTGTATGTGTGCGAGAGCGTACCACCACACACCGTAATAATAATAATAATAATAATAATAAAAGAGACGAGTCCGACTATCGGTGGAGGGGAGAGAGGACGGCGGCGGCGGCGAGAGATTACGCACGCACGCGGTTAACGGGAAGAGGAGGAGCAAGCGGCGGCGGCGTCTGCTGCTGCCGCCCCTGAAACGCGTTCTCTGAACCGCGTGCGAGCGCGCCCGCTAATGCGTGTGTGTGAGTGTGTGTTTGTGTAATTCCAATCTCGTTTTCGTGGACGGGGTACGAACACACACTCGCGCCCCCCGGCGTCTTTACACGCGCACGCACGCACGCAAAAGCCGACCGACCGCTGTCCGTGTAGATGTGTGGTAGTAGTAAATAGTAATAGTAGTAATAGTAGTAGTAGTAGTAGTAGTAGTAATAGTAATTGTAGTAGTAGTAATAGTAGTAGTAGTAATAATAGTAGTGTTGTTGTAGTAGTAGTAACAGTGCCTGTGTATGCGCGTGCGTGTGTAGTCGTCGCCGCCGCCGAGTGGTTGCCACGTTGCCGATCGGAACGTTTCCGAGAGAGCGCGAGCGGTTTTGAGGAAAGGGTGGGCGGCGGCGACGAGAAGGGCTGCTTATACACGACGCGGTGGCGGCGGCGTTTTCCTTAATAGCCGTGTGCTCTTCACTCCCACCGATGGCCGACGCGATGCCCCCTTATCCACCCCGCGCCGCGGACACGACCCCTCGACCACCGCCACTCTTCTTTTCGCGATCGACGAAATCTTTTTGACTTGTTCGACCCCGGCCCAAATGACGATTTCTGTCGAATCGTTTGTTCGCGATTTTGAGCACCCCTGAGATGGAGCGATGGCCAGGTGTATGCGAGTGTATTTAATACTGCAGTCAGCTGCCGCACGGAAACCACTTGGAACCCGTCGAGACCGCACCGCTCGGTGGCGGACGCCGGTATAGATTTCTCGGTTAGATTATGTCCGGCAGTCCTTAGAAAATATATCACTCGATTCTTCGGGTCTCGAAAGTTCGATCTATAAGAAGCAACGACTGTTATATACACGACAGTCTCTGCCGCCGCAACGGCGTTATTCCATCTGCCAAAACCGCATTTTTGAACCCATGTGGTTAATGACGACGACGATCGGAGAACCGAGGGTCGTCTCCGAAGGAAATTGGTTTTCTCTCTCTCTCTCTCTCTCTCTCTCTCTCTCTCTCTCGCACTCACTCGCACGGCCGTCGGCGTCGTGGATACCTTTCGAATTTCGGGAGAAAAGAAATGTACGTAAAAACGGTTTTTGTGAGGTAAAGACTGTCGGTGTGCTCCCTCGGCAAAATAAATAACAAATATTTCACACGCAGCGACGATAAAATCGGCGTCTTCGGCAACAGCCCCCACACGATCGTCGACGAGGGTGTTGGCCATAGAGCGAAAACAATGGGGTTCGTCGTCGCGTGGGGTGGCGATAGGGACGGACAATGGTGTAGTAGGCAGTGGCGTACATATGAAGGAGGAGTGAGGAAAGACGTTTGCTGCGCGAATATTGGCCCCGGCGGCGCGTTCGATTTGTTCGGCTTTTACCTCTCTCGCACTCAACTCTTCTCTCTCGGTGCGCACATTGCACATGGCGCGACTGCCAAAATCGTCGTCGACCGCCGCACCCCACACAACAATTTCGTATTATTCGGAAACCATATAGGTAAAAACTGTACATAGAAAATAATTTATTATTACGTACGACCGCCAAGGAATGGATGACGATCAATCGTCCGCCATTAGAACCTATGCCTGTAGATATTAATTTACAAATACAGACGCCGTATTGTCGAACCGCCTGCATCAACGACGATTTGACGATAAATCGATTTACTTGTGGATCGATGTCTCGGTTTGTACGAGTCGATCATCACCACAGCACAAGGATACTTTTTATTTAGTTTCAATATTATGTTATACACATACCGTCTATACAACGAACGTGAATATGTGTGCGAGTGTCGGCATATCCATACCGCCTCCAAAACAATAATTACGCGTCCGACGTGAGTTATTCAACACCACCCTGTCGAGTGTATCATAAGAAACAATATAATGCGTAAGGTTTCGTATTTTAGTCGTATAATAGACTTCCTATACAACACACATAATATTATACTGGCCGTATTTTATTCTTTCGTTCAGCTGCTGCTGCCGTAACAGCACGTATGAAATCCCTTTTTGAGAAACACAAAACTAATTCTTTGTCCGACGCGACGCCATCTTGTTTGCAAACGAAAAAAACACGTTTCACGGGATGTGCAAAGATGATAAATTAATCTTTTTTTTTTTTTTTAATACCTTTACGATAAAGAAAGGGTTGCCGACGAAGCAAGAAATTGTTTTTTTTCTTTCGATTACGACTAAAGCGAAATTAAATAGTAACCGCTGGTGTATTGCGAGCTGCTGCACGTAATTTGTTGTATAGTTGAATAAAAAATAATCAGGCCAATTGGAGGTAAAAATAAAAAACCGATTGCAAAATTATTCTGAATGTACATTAACCAAGATAATATACATTGATGCAAATCCAATTCATGCAAAAAAAAATTCGTACGTGTCGAATTTTACGAGTGAAAATCAACTATTATACAGTCATACGAACTTGGAAGTCAGATAATGGACGAGTCCAGATCACGTGATCGAGGTATTACGGAGCAACAGCTGCGTCGTATGGCGACCGCCTTGCACTGTTTATCTCGCTAATTGTTATTGTTTTGTGGTCAATCACTGGCGTGTCGTTCTTTTTAAATGCCGACGACCTGGGCGGTGTCCACATGCAGAAGGTGGTGGTTATCAGCAGCGCACAGCTGTTCAATTTTCGCGATTATTTCATATTTAATACACGATTTATTTTATTGATGTTGCGATCTGGATCAATAATACACACGACTGATGAACATACAAACTGATGGTTACGTCGCACAACCATCAGTGGTGTGGTTATGTGCCGCACATGTCGAAATAATAAAAATAATAATGATAAAAATGATAATTCAAACTTTTGTTTGTCGAGGCAGTGGCAGCATACAATACCCAAGTGAGTTGCTATATATATATACATGTGCGTGACTATTGTTATATTGGAAAGTGGAAACGCGATGACGCCAATTGTTTGTTTTTGGGCAAAGATAATAAAAGGAGAACCCTCTAGTGGCAGCGCGGCGGCAGCGGTGTAGTGCTGTGCTGCATGAGAGACTATGCGAGCAGGGAAAAATATTTGTTCAGGTTTAGCCGAGGAGGGCGAAAAAAGGTCCAATATTAATCGTAATAAGAACTGTACACGTCCAGTCGTCGCGTATCAGCATTCAGCAACAGCAGACATAGTCACGAGACGTTGAGAAAATTTTAAAACTGACGAGGGTGTAATATTATAATGATGGAATGGTGAAAACGTCAAACTCTCCCATTGTGTATAGCGTATGTTTCCCTTGGCTTTTTCGCTAATTCATTGGTTTTAATATTGTCAATCCCGCCGGATAAGAGGAGCGATTCAAACTATACTATAGTATTGTATAACAATATATAATAATAATAATATGCCTTCTAATAAAACTCATTATGTCGCGTATACGGGCTCCTACTCGGTCATCCTACTCTATATTATACTGCTGAGTGCTGGTACACAACTACACGATGACGGTCATCCAAGGCCTTCTTCTATAGCGTTATTCAAATATGTGACGAGCGGGGGCCCCCTCAAACCTTCACAACCACAGTTCATGACGGAGTAAATGACGGGACAAGAGTCTTGCCAATTGGAAGTGAATAGATAGAGACGACTAATTGAAAAACATCATCCGAGACGGACTGCGGTCGATTAAAATTGTGTATCTGAAATTCTGAACACATAATAATATGATGTGTAACCTAACCATAACACAGTTATCATCAAATATCAATCGGTATTATCGAAAATTGTTAACAGTAAAATGAAATAAACGTATAATAAAAAATAATATATAATAATAAAAATATGAAAAAAAGTATTTACAAGTAGGAGGTAGGGTATATGGTACTTGGAAAAACACGAATATTTGTCGATACGGCTTCCGGATAGACAATCGGACCGGCGAGCATCTGATGGGAAACGCTACGATAGGCTACGGCGACGGTCGAGAAATCGTCATGGTGCATCGTGCATACCGGAAATTCCTGAAATCCGTTCGCAGCCCGAGGCGGCAGCGGCCTTCGCCGTTGACCACGCGGCGGGCCACGTACGTCCTCTGACCGTGCCGGTTAAACCCAACCGGCGGCAATCCTGCGAGATTTTTCCACGCGCATTTGGCCGACGTCCAAATAATAACACTGCGGGCTCCTCTAAGAGAGGTTGTTGCTCGTCCCTCACGCGGTGGTAGTCGTCGAGATGTTTTCCCAATTCGGCAGATATATTAATACGATGATAAATACATACTTTCTACACGCACACGTCACACACTTGCGCCCGGAGCGGCGTGTGACGTGTGTGTGAAACGAGCGCCGGAGACTACTACAGCAAAATTATTAAGACGACGACGACGACGACGACGTAAGTAGTAATAATAATAGGCCACATTTGCACATTAGCATTTTCATGAATATACAGTCGGCGGCGGCCGGCTCGCAGAATTAACGACGTACTTGTATAAATATTTAAAAACGAAAAATATTTTATATTAGTTATTGTAATTTATTTTAATTCGTATTCTCGGGAGGATGGTAGCGAATGGATGAGCTGTGATCGGGGGGGAAACGCGACGGCGAGCGGGAGGAGAGGCCCGATAATAATAATTACCACGCGCGCCTATGTGTATCGACGTTTCCCTCCTCCCCCACCCCCCCAACCGATCGAAACGCGCTTTTGAATAATGCATATCCGCCGGAACACCTGGTCCTGGTGGTAGTGGAAGAGCCGACGGCGGTGGCCGCGCTTCCCATCGACGACGATCGTGTTATTACTATTATCATCGCGACGAATAAAAAATACGCGTGCGACAGCGACGAGCGCACGTCACACGACTCACGGGTATCGCCGGCGCGTTCGCCTTTTACCGATTTTTCGTCGCTGGTTGTGCACACAATTATATTTATTATTATTGTTGTTTGAGCGCGAGGAGGACGACAAACGGCCGGAGGGCGAGAGAGTAAGAAATATAAGATAGAAAAGAGTGAGAGAGAGAGAGAGCGAGCGATAGAGACGCGGCTAATAAGAATTTGAAATGAGGTCCTCCACGGCGGGGTTGAATTTCCCCGGACGTGCCCCGCATGCATTTTACATAATTCCGTCGGCTATTAGATCAATATGACGCGGGTGCGTGTGTATCCCCCACACGTATAATACATATCTATGTATATAATACGTATGTGTATATATTATACGACGACGACGCGCACACACACACACACCACCGCCTCCCTCTCGCGGCGGCCGTTTAACCCGCGAACCGCAGCCGTCGTCGACCATCCTCCTCGTCAGTCCTACTACTCCTATGTGCTACTCTATACCGTCGCTAAACTATTATATACGCACCCCTTGCGAAAAACATAAAAAAAAATATAATATATATACCAAACGATCGCGTTACACATTGATGATTTTTTTTTTTATATATATACTACGGACGACCGTGATCGGACACCCGTGTCTGTTTTTCCGCCCCCGCCGACGTGGAGCTAGCTGACTATTCGATACGCCGAAGACGCGGGGGCGGTCTATCTGCGGCGACCACCGTGCAGGTGACTTATGAAACAGTCACGACGATGTGCTTGTTATCTTATAATGACGGATGGCTAAAGTTTTTTATTTATTGACCGATCTTCGATGTTTTACTTAATTTATGGATTGTCGAGTTTGTACTCACCGACTTGCAGCACCCGGTCCACGCACCCTGTCTCCAGGAGCTTAAGCCCTTTATAAAACGACAGGTTGCTCTGTTCGGAGTTTTGAGACGATGAGCTGGCCTGTGACACGCGTATCAGCGACGAGTACATGAATATGTCGCGCTCATTGCGCGGAAACGACCAGTAGATGATCTGCCGCTGCACCGGTTCCGGTATGCGGCTGTACCGTTCCTCGATCCGCTGGAACGGTATGTTCTCGGCCACTATCCGGGCGGTGATGTCCAACAGAGAGTCGGGCGACCGGAGCGTCGCCGACCCTCCGGCCGACGTCGACGTTGACGCACCGTCCACGCCGCCGTCCCTGCAGCACGGCCGCTTGTTGGACACGCCAGCGCCGCGGCTACAACACGGCCGTTTGCACGACGCCATCGCTACGACGCTACGACGTTACTACGACGACGGCGGTGACCGCTGCTATTGTCGCTGTTTTTGTTGGTGTCGCGGCGGCTGACGCTGTTGCTGCTCCTGCTTCTGCTTCTGTTGCTGACTACAACGACGGCTCCGGCGGCGATTCGGCGGACACGCATCACACGTACGCATACACAGTGGGCAAGACGACGGCGGCGGCGAGAGAGCGCGGCGCACAGAGGATTACGACTCGGCGGTCCACGCGGACGACACTTATCGTCGCGAGACTAGAACCCGTCGACCGATCGCGGCACACGGGAAACGAAAACCGGACACGCGCACGCACTCGGCGGGATGGCGAC